CCACACTATCCTCTCGACGCCATATTTTCAACTTTCATACCTAGTTATCGTGGAATGTGTTTTAACAAGAGGTTTATTCCAACGTCGGTCCGCAGTCCAATAAATCATGTGTCGGACATGCCAACTTGAAGGCACGGTCCGCGATCAGGTATAGAAGTTGAAAATATGGCGTCGAGAGGATAGTGTGGCCCGCGACGAACAAAACTGTACTAGTTTCGCGGCAAAAAAAGTGTAAGGGAGAGGCGCTATAACGCAAAATAGGTTCAGTGACGCCTCCTTTTTTCCAGTGACTCCGCCTCCAGACTCCGCCTCCAAGCCCTCCTTTCAGTGAAAAAAACGAGGACGAAAAAGCATGAAAATCGTCACTTGTACGGTCGTAGAGTTCTTATCGGGGAATCAGCTGTGCGGATGAAGGCGTAATGTTGGAGATGGAGTTAATTGGGCACGTACAAACTGGGATCGGAATGGGGTTCTATTTAGGACATTTGGCATGTTTTTTCTGCTTTTTTCTTCACTATCGAGTTACTCTGAACCTTGTCGTCTATATGCAAACCTCGAATCCACTATCTGTGATGGCAAATGATCGCGGACTTTGCCTTTAATGAAGTGGGGAGGGGGCAGAGTCTCGTGGGCTCTTCGGGCTACCTAAGCTAGTCGCTCTTACTGTGTCAATTTTTTCTGCACTCTCGTCCGCATGGTAGGTACCTCACGCCACCCAGGGATACCATCCCAACAACAAGCCAGTCCCCCCCCCCACCACTCGCAGCAGATTTTGTGCACCTTTCAACACCCTGGAGGCAGCTGCCCTTCAGCATACAGGCTTCAGACCCAGCACAAAAGTTCCAGCACCCACGTAATCGCGGATTCTCTCGTCAAAAGTGAGACACTACCATGATAGTTGGTTTATTTCGAGCTCCTTCAGCATGAGGCTGAGGAGATTCATCTGCCCTCAGCGTAAAAAGTAGAGCAATGGGGTCAGAAGGGTATATGAGATACGGGCGCAGTTTGGCGACGGGGGGCATTTTGCACTTTCACTGCTTCACTACTTCCGGTTTACAAGTCTCACTCTGGTGAAACTTGTGAACTCTTGTGAAGCTGGAGCAAGCTCGTCTAGCCACCATGGTAAAACGTGTCAACTCAAGAAAAGGCTGTCTAGATGGGTCGACACATCGATGGGAAGCAAAATGCCCCCCCCCCAGTCGCCGAACTGCGCCTGAGATGTGATTTAAACGTCAATGATGTGTCATGAGATATCACGTCATGTCTCAACATCATCGTACTGGGCTACGGTCCTGTACTAGACTATCGTTTTAGGAGAAACAAAATTCAAAATAAATACCAGTTTGTCAACGAGTAAGTCGCACCTTTTGCATCCTATGAGAAATCGAAGCGCTATCATGAAGAGCTATTAAGTCCTCGACCACCGAGGGTGAATCCATCTCGCGAATTGAGTTCACTTGTTGGATTGTTCGATGAGTCCAAGGTAGGGCAGTCTTTAAACAACACAGATTTAGATCTGCAAACGGGATCATAATTGACTATAAAGATTCACCTTTCTGAATGACCTTTCCCAAGAGCCAAAGTAGTCCTGGGCTCCCCAGTTTCCATGCCTTGACGGGAAGAAGCAAGAAGTAGAGTAGCTAAATATTATATAAACATTTTGGGGAAATCGACCTTGAATGTCAGTAATGTAACACGAATGGGAAAGAAATGGGTGAAGAATGTTACCCGGTGGTTACAGTGGCGCTATGAACACTACGCTGTAAGCCAGATTGCGCAGTGGATGAAGCACGTAAAAGTGGTCGCGCATTGCTAGCTTCTTTTCTGGGCCGATAGGGACGCTACTGGGGCATCTGAAGGATTTCACCCAACCCGTTAGGAAAGCAATTCAAATGTCACACACGTGGTGAAGAGGCAAGGGATAGAGCGCAGCCACGGCACCCTTCCCACCAAATGTTGCGGGTTTTGGATGGCATTATTAGTGGAGAAAGCCGCCCAGGCTGCGCTCCAAGGCACGCCCCCTCACAAGCCCAGTCTTTTGCAGAGATAACAACTGTAGCTAGCCAAGTGCTCTCTCTCTCTCCTGAAGTGACTGTATCCAAAGGAATTACGCTGGGTGACAAGCATTCGAAAAGCGTTTGACCCTCCTGACCCTCGCGAAACATACCTCTTGTAAGTTGACTCGTTATAGGGTGATTTAGGCTCGAAATCGAAGAGAGCGTCAACAAAATGATCAACAGTGCTCGCGATA